AAGACTAGTCAAACGAAGAAGACATCGATGAAGACTAATTTCAAACTAGATTCGAGCTAGAGAAGACTTTACTCATGTAATGTCCCCAAAATATTTTCTTTTAAATAGTCAATGCATAAATTAATTGAGTAATATTTGGATTGGAGTGTTATGTAAAATTATATGTGAAAATGATTTAATTTTGTAATAATTTTTTTTTAAATATAATTTTCAATCTCAGAAATTATGAAATTTTTTATTATGTTGTTCTTATAAGAGTCTAGCATGTTGGATAAGAATTTCAAAATTTAATAGTGAGTATGTATTTTATGAGAATTTACAGACTGATTGGTGTTCAGTTTAATTTATAATAGAATTTGAAATTTGAGTTTTGGGTGTTTGGACCATGATTTGAGATAAATTATTGGGTCTATTTTGGTATATAATTGGACCATGTTTGGCTTATAGGTAGGAACTATGACTTTGATTTAATTTAAATTGAGTTTGTTTAATAACTTATGTTTAACTATTTGGTCCTTTTTAATTATGTGATTGGTAATAACCATATTGGGAGTTGTTATCATTTATTATATAGGATTATAATAAATATTTGATAGTTGATTTTATAGTGTGCACTATATGGTGAAAAATTATATATTTTTATAGTAAATAAAATGGGTGTATATTTCGTAGTAAGCAAAATATTATATTTTGTGATGTACAAAAATGTTATATTTTGTAGTGAAAAAAATTATATCATTTTATAATTTATATTATAGAATTTTAGGTATTATTACACAATTATATTGTATTTTTTTGAAAAACCGATTTTGGAGAAGTGAACCCACGTGGGGTTGTTCCCCACGCCTTCACCCTTCTCTCTTCTTTCTTTTCCTTTCTTTTTCTTTTCTTTTCTTGGGCTGGTTTGGTAGAGAGCTCAGCACTCTCTCTCTCTCTGTTCTCCATTGATGTTCAATCTTTGAGCTTGAAATGAGAGTCTTTAGAGTGAGATTTTACAAGTGTTGTAAATGAAAGTTGGAGAGCTCGTCATGATCTTCGCAATGGTGGTCTTGGATCCATGATTGGGCGATGTTTGCATTTCGGATTTTCTTTTCTTCATATTTGAGGTAGGAACTTTCTTCATATTATTACATTAAAGGTATGTTAGGGTTATTTTGAGAAAATATATCATTATATGAGGTATTACATATATATATTTCTTAGATTTTTGTTTGGTTAATTTTTGGAAGAAAATTATGTTGAAATGTTAAGAATGTTGATATCTTGGAAGAAAAATTATGTTGAAATGTTAAGATATTGGTATTTTGAGATTGATTTGGGAAAATCACCTTGTGTTGATAATGTTTGTTAAAAATCCAAAATTAAATTTTAATAGCTATATGCTTGGTATCTACATCATATTATGATTAGATAATTTATTTTAAGAAAAATAGTGTTGAAATATTATCTCACCTTTGATTTCTTTTTTCTTTTTTCTTTTTTCTTTTTTTGGAACTTATTTTTGAGAAAAATAAATTGATATTGGTGAATATTGTGTAAATTGTTAAATTATAGAGTTGTTTTGGGATTAAAAACTCTAAAAGTGTTGTATTCATGATATTTTATGAAAGATGATATGTTGATGATTTAGTTGTATTCATTTTTGTGAAAATAAAAATGTGAAATGCAAAATGTGGACTTTCAAACTCATAACTTTAAAATTGTTACTCTTAGGCATATTTCATAAGTTTTTATGTAAATATCTTATTAATTAGTTAACTTTAGAAAGGTTATGAAAATTGTTATTTGAAGAGAATTTGGGAAAGATTGGCTATTTGAGTAGCTTGGCATGAAATGTGATTATGTTTGAAAGATGAGTTGGGTTAAGTTATGTTTGGTATTATTTCTTTTGGAAAAATGTGAAGATAATAAAATTAATAATTTAGTGGATTAAATTAGTTTGGTTAAAAGTGTGTTATTGAAATTATACTATAACTTTTAATATAGTAGGATGGAAATGTTAATATTTCATAAGTATGAGATTTTGGAGAAAATAAGTGAGATGAAGTTATTCGGGTGTGAAACAAAGTTGAACTAAGATTATTAATTAAGTTCAGGTGTTTTAGTATTGGGCTCCTAGTTTTACTAGTTGAGTAATGTTATAATAATAATTTCATACTTCAAAAATTTTATGAGATATTTGAATGGTTTTGGTAGTCTTTGACAAGAAAAGAAAATAATGTGATTTTAGCTCGTTTGGAGCAAAGGGGTGAATTGGTTAAAATATGAATGAGTCATCAAAACTTTTAATTATTTATTTATTTTCCTTAGTTTAAATCGATGGGGTTGATATTGATAATTGGAAAGTGAACACTCGTAGTATATTTTATAATTATAGTCAAGAGAAAATTTTGATATAATTGATTAAGTGTTGAAATATTCACATATGCTTATTGAAAATTATGATTGAACTTGAAGACCCCGAGATTTCACTTGCATGAGAAAAATGGAAATTTGATTCTATTTAATGTTTGGGATGGGATGGGTTTTGGAAAGATTGTAACTACCTTTCATTAATAAAGTATGTGAGTTAAAAATTGATGAAACCTTGAAACTACCTTGGTGTTATATGTTATTGCTATTGATAAACCTATCATTTAAAAGTTTTGATTTTGGTAACCGGTAGAGGATTTCCATGTTGATATTTAAATGAGAAGATTCTTAAAAAGATAAGAAAATGTTGATTTTGGAAGTTTGTTTTACATAAAGAATATTGTGGAATTGTCTTGAAAAGACTAAGTTGGAAATTGTTGATTTATATGTGATAAATATATGAACATTGACATTATTATATTATCTCTTGGGATTATATCATTGTATTAAATTGATAGAGATATGAAAATTGATCACAATAGAGCATTGTGTGGTGGAATTGAAATTGAAACTCTTCTAATGCATTGTTACATATTTTGTTGCAATTCTATTTCATTATTATTATGGATTTCGAATTGCAATTGAAAACTATTATTTTGAGAAAGGAATTGTTTTTGTGAAACAAGATCATTTGGATTTGTTTTGGATAAATATGTTGGTAAATCCGGATAGGGGGTGTAGTTTGATATTAGTTTAAGTTGGCCTGAGTGTCTATGGTGAAAAACCGAAAACACGCGCAGAGGAGATACCTTGTGCCTTCCGATGAGAGACCAGTAAAGTAGGGATTTGGTAGTGCTCGATATACCTACTTGCAAACACCAACTTAGGGATTACCTGAGTCGTATTTACCACCTTGAAATTTTATTGAAATTGTTGGATTAATGTGTTTTCAAATTGACATTAAGGATAAGATTTTCAAAAGATGAGAAAAATATTTTGAGCATGACATGGCATACGCATTCATCTTATAAGACTATATAAAATGTATTTAATGCTTTGTTAAATGTCATTATGAATTGTTTAACTATTTGATTTAATTGACAAATGGATTGAATGAATTGAAAAGGATGTCATGTTGCTATTGAAGCATGTTTATTTATTTAAATTAACTAGTTGTAGTTAATTAAAATAAATTAGATTTAAGAAGTTATGTAATAAAATCATATGGTTTTGATATGATATGATTTCACATATATGTATGAGTATTTTGGTACCCTCATATCTTCTAATGTTATAATATGAGATTGTTTGATGAGTTAGTGGTTGTTCACCCCCTACTTGTACATATGTACAGGGAATATTTTCGGATTTGAGGATCAAACACTTGGCATGGTTATAAAGTGGTGATGAGTTGTAATGCCTTTAATTGTTTCTTTAGTTGAGCTCTATGATTTGTAATGGACAACGCACTCTTAGTTATTGCAAGCCTTAGGGCATTTCTTTTGTTTGTATGTAAAAAATGCCATTAGTGTATCACGAGAGAGAATATGTATATTTAATTATTCATCATTTTAATCAAATGATGAATTGACATTTGTAAATAGACTTAATTAATGAATATTGGTAATGTTATCCGAGTAATAAAATACAGGGCATGACAAATCGAGCCTTTCCAACATAGATTCGAAAGATTCAAGACAGATCGGAGCCTACGAGGAGAAGGGCATTGGGGATGCCGCTGCGACCTTCACCATTGCCTCTAGAGAAAACAAGGTAGTTCTCGATGGAGATTGGTAGTGGTGAAACCCTAACGACAAATCTCGATCGAGACAGAGCTCTGAAGCCATATGGTTAAACCTTTCGAGTTCAGGAACGGCATATTAGAGGAAATCCATAACATCGTTGTCATTCTGGACAACTACTTCACCGCCAACCTTGACTCGGCACCACGACGACGATTTCAAACATCAGCGATTTCAACCTTAGTTATAGCTTCTCAAACGAACTTGGATCTAAGATGCCAAGTGTTAATCTTTCTCAGATTTGAGACACCATTAGCGAACTTAGATCCAAGTTCTTAGTTGCAAAAGAGAGAGAGAGTGGGAAGAGAGAGGTTGAGGACGGAAACTAACCAATAGAGGTCGTCGACGAGGAGAGTGGCAGTGTAAAAGAGAGTGAAAGCGTCCATGATAGAGAGAGAATGATAGTGGGTTTGTAGAGAAGAAAAAGAGACAAATAGAGAAGGGAAGGGAAGAGAAAGAGAACGGTGGTATTGGAATGAAGAGAGAGAGAGAGAAGAGAGAGTTTTGATTTGATTTCACTATATAGTATATATGTACATAGATAGTTGGATCATTTTACGTGAGTTTATTCTTATGAACAACATTTTTTGAAAGCGTAAACCTTTGGACAAAAAACATTTATAATTGAATTTATAGATCAAGTACTTTTTTAAAATTGTTTTCAAAACTAAATCAAACATAACGTTATTACCAATTGTTCTTATACCCAAATTCCATGCATAGTGCATTGTTATTTAACAATTTGCCAATGGAAAATGCATGAGACCCAGTAGGGGTGCTGGATCCCTGTGCTGGATCCCTTCTGATCGGCCCCAAAAATTGTTTGTTTGTTTTTTTTTTTTTTTTTTTTTTTTTTTTTTGGGGTTTTCAGCCATTGACAGCCCCTCACGGGGGTGGGGGGTGTGGTGCTGGGGTGCCTCGGAGCGGGAGGTCTCCAGCATCTCTCTTTGCCAATTGGATATTGCCAAGCGAGAATTGATAACGGAACGAAGCGATGCCCGTATTCTCTGTTTTATCTCTGCCTCAAATCAATTGAACAAGAAATGATAATTCCACTGCAACTCCTTCCTCCCCAAACCCAAACCCAAACCCAAACCCTAGCCCTTCTCCCCTCACTCAACCCTTCCCCAAAACCCCATCCCAAAACCCTCCTCCACTGCCTCACTCCTCTCCAAACTCCCTCTGTACTCACTCCCCACCTCACCTTCACCACCACCACCATCGCCACCGACTCTGGCCTCTGCTTCCGCGAGAAGCTCCTCTACCTCCAAACCCTCAAAGTCAATCCCTCCAAAGCCCTCCACAAGAACCCTAATTTCCGATCAGCCCCACTCGACTCCCTCAAATCAGTAAAGAAATGCCTCTACTCCATGGGCATCGACCGCTTTGCCTTGGGCCGCATCTTCGACATGTACCCCCAGCTCCTCACCTGCGATCCCTACTCTGATCTCTACCCTGTTTTCGACTTCCTATTGAACCACGTTAATATCCCTTTCCCCGATATCCGAATATCGATCATTCGCTGCCCCAGACTCTTAATTTGCAGTGTAGATCACCAATTGAGACCCGCATTACGAAGTAGGTTGGCTTTTTGGTTTTTTGGCTTTTTTGGCTATTTTAGCCTGGGCTTAAAAGCTTGGTTTGGGAATGACTTTTTGGTTTTTTTGAGTTTTTTTGTAAGAGAAGAATGTAATGATTATGAGTTGGATGTGATGTTTTGTTTGTTATGACTAAAATAGCCTATTTTGTTTTTTGTGGCTAAAATAATCAAAAAAGCATGCAAACCCACTTGCCAAACACAGGCTACGTTTCCTAGAAAATTTGGGGTTTGTGGGGAAACACGCATTAACTTGCCAGACCACACTGTTGTTGGTTTCGAGCGTCGAAAACACGCTTATGCCCAAGCTGAATTACTTGCAAGATTTGGGTTTTTCGTATGAGGAGGTGTTGATTTTGGTGCTGAGGTCGCCGGGGTTGTTGACGTTTAGTATTTCCAATAATTTTGGGCCGAAAGTGGAGTATTTCTTGAAGGAAATGAATGGGGATTTGGCAGAGCTAAAGAGGTTTCTGCAGTATTTTTCGTTTAGTTTGGAGGGGAAGATAAAGCCTCGGCACCAGCTCTTGGTAGAGAATGGGTTGTCTCTTCCGCTGCCACAGATGTTGAAGGTCAGTGATGGGGAGTTAAATGCGCGGTTGATTGAGATGCAATTGCGATTAGTTGATGAGAGACAGTCATAGTAAAGTTTCCTTGCAAGTTGCAACTTATAGTATACTTTGCTTCGATAGTGAAAGTTCACGCCTTATATGTGTTTGATGGTCAAATGTTCATTTTTTGTGCAATATAGCATCTTTATTTATTCATAAGAGACAATCATTTGATTCCCTCAATTGTTCTCTAGACATGAAGTAGAAGTTAGAAGCTGTAGTAAGAAACCTAGTTAACAAAATTAAATTGGTCGTAATTTACATTTTGCACTTGGTTAGAACTATCATAAATATCCAAATATGAGTTGGTGTTCCTGGCAAGCTTGAAATGAAATTAGTAAATTCTTTACCATTCAAGTAAAATTTAAATTCCTAGTGCTGATGGAAACCAGAACACTAATGATCAAGCATTACTGCTAAATTTGGGGGTGATAATGTAAGATAGTGGGACAGGAAAAAAGCCTTTGTTTATCAGTTATTCAGTCTTATAGTAAACCCTCTGTTTTGAGACTTTCAGAAGGTTTGAACCTGATTCTGCGATTTATTCAACGCCAATATTCATTTTGTTAAGAGGAAACTGCCATAGTGGATTGTCCTCAAGTTATGGACTTAAAATCATTTGCTTCTTTGATGCTTGAAATCTGGGCTTCAGTTATTAGGGAGTTGAATAATTGTGAGGGCATGTATTGGCAGTGATTGATGGGAGATATCATTTATGTAATCAAATGTTTAGAAGCTTAAAGCCCAATTCTATGGTTCTTGTTCAAATAATATTTGCACTCTGTTTTTGATGATAGGATAGCTAGAATTTCTATATGCATGTTTCCTCTCTCCAAAGAATAATTAATCTAAAAGTATCCACTATTTGTCACTCAAACTCCTATAGTCTGATCTAACTAGAATGGCCAATCTTTCCACATACCTGAACCTTCGTCAGTAATCAATTGTCACCATATTGGTCTCTTGTACTTGATAGATGTATGCATAATGTGGCCACTTTATGTAAGGGCCCTGTCATGGTTTTTGCCTGGAAAACAGAACACAATGTTGTTTATTCAAGCCTATAGCTTTTTCTAAATTTCAAGTAATGGTCCATCCTGCTCGCGCTGCACTCTTCCTTTTTGGGCAATCCTCAGCAGCATAAGCTAGCTAGCAAAGACTTAAACAGGGAGGAAGGCTCTGTTTGGTTCACTGATATACCTACTTGTATGAGCCGTCAACTTGTTGGCGATTGTTGAGGATGCAAGAAGGGCGTTTTATCCCAGATTTGCGTACTAAACTATGTCATTGGAGTTCCACTTACACAACAATGTTATCTCCTTGCACTCAGTTTTCTAAAATTCCACTCATCCAAAATTAAAAAACTATCATTTTATCTCATTACGCCCTCCATAATCCCACATATATATACTAGAGGTTGTGCACACTCGCATGGATGTGCTTAAAATTTTCATTGTGGGTTGAAATTGGTTGTTATAGATTGAATAGGTAGTTACAGAAAACTTGTACTTCAATTCTTAGTTACAGAAGGGTGATTTGGGAATAAAATAGTGTGACACAGAAGTGTCAATGCCAACTTAGCCCTTTACATATATAATAGAATAGATATATATATCCATTGCTAACCTTTTATTTTTCTTTAGTTGTAAAAATGGTTTATTTAGCATTTAATTAGTTTTGTAATTGATTGAAATTTATGTAAAAGTGGTTTGAGATATAATCCATCAAAATTTTAACTCCAAGGGGTTGGCTTGGTGGCAAGGGCTTGGGTCTTAGGGTGTGCTCCCTCCAAGGTTCAAGGATCGGAACCTCTTAGGTGCTAACAATTCTTTAGGGCCCATTGGATTGGGGGAAAACCATTGAATTAACCGCAATGCATTTGCAGGAAACTCCTTGTCGAGGGCCTGGGCACCCCTGGGAATTAGTTGGACTTTGATCCGGACATCCCGGTGCCAATAATAATAAAAAAAAAAGAAGAAGGTATAATCCGTTAAAATTTTGTTTGAAACCTTGTTCAAACTTCCAGTGCAAAATAAACGTAAAATTTTTAAACTTACATGGTCGATCAAATTTGAAATATTTGTATTTTTTCTGCTGAACAAAACTAATTTGTTCAACTTTTAGGCATTCAGCCAGAAAAGTCCAAACAAATTAAGTTTGTTCATTTGTAAAATTCTGAACCAAATTCGAATCAAGAAAGGAAACTTTTTGTAGGTGGCTGATGGTGGGTCTAAATCTGATGACTTAAATCTTAAATTTTTGGGGCTTAAATTTAGTGGAATAAAGAGACAATGAAACTCGAATTTAGTTAGGGAAGCAAAATTTGTAGACAGTTAAGTTTTTTTTTTTTTTTTTTTTTTTTAATTTAGGTCTCCTACTGTTGATGATCTAGCACCCTTGACTAGCACAATCTAGACTTTCCCAATCCACCACCTTGCGTGACCTAGTTCATCCCCCCAAACCAACACTGTGTACTAGAGAGAAAGAGAGATTCAGGGTAGAAGAAGAAAAATAAGATGGAAGAGGTGGGAGGTGACAACGATGAAGGGTAGGTGTTGAATTTAGGGAGTTGGGGAGGAGGATTGGCGACGAGGGACAGGCTAAAAGGGGGGTTGATGAAAGAGTGGAGTGATGGGGGGGGATCGTGATGATCAAAGAGGTGGAAGGTGACGACAATGAAGGGTAGGTGTCAAATCTAGAGAGTGGAGGAGCATTGGGGAGGGGAGCATCGCGATGGTCAGAGGTGGCGACCGTGAGGGGGTGGCAGTGTCGAGGAGGTCACCGGTGGGAGCAGGGCTAGATGTTTGTGGTCGAGGATGGTGGTCGTGGCTGCTGGAGGTGATGATTGGGGGGTCGGGTAGAGTTGGAGTTTGTTAGGTTTGGAATGCAAGGATGATGGTTGTGATTGGTATTATGCTGATTGTGAAAAGATAAAATCATAAATTTAAATTTTTGTACATGGTGTAACAAGAAATAGAGTGTAATGAGAAATTTTGTTGTGCAAGTAGAATTACGAAAAGCATCCCTATGCTATTAATGTTATGTATTTGAAGTTTCAGTTTTAGCCCCCCAAAAGCATCAAGTTGCCCTCACCCTACATTGAAGTCCAATGTAGAAAACATTAGGCATTAACATCCCTGGTCTGGCTATAGGATATAGATCATAATGGGGCCCAAACATCTAGAGGTGGTACTGTGATGCTCCACTTGACTTTTGCATCCCATCTGTTTGAAACTGATTTTGCCTTTTGCTACTTTTATGGAACAATAAATACCCCACTGTATGTAAGACATTGTTGACTCACTTCTCTATTACCTGAGGTAGTCTTTAATGGAATTGTAATACATTGTATAAGTGTATCAGATCCAAGTTGCAATTGCATACTATTTATGCCCAAGGCTTTTAGATTCTCAGTGTCAACACAGTTGATTTAAGCCCTAGCTAGTAGGATGCTAAAAAAGAAATGCAAAAACTTGTGAGCTTTATTATAATTGTTTAAATTCAATTAGGGTTGAATTATAATAATAAAAAGTTTAAATTTTCCCAGGTCATTATAAATTTGTAGTTATGTTTCTAAATTATTCAAATCCATGTATATTTGTTCATTCTTTCTAAAGACATGTAGAAGAAAATTCTGGTTTTGGAATGTTTTTACAGAAGTAGGCTTCAGCAATTGACAAAGTCTTAAAAAAAATAAAATAAAATAAAATAAAAAATAAAAAATAAAAAATTATTATTATTATTTTCCCAGATCACTTTTGGATAAAGAAAAATTTTAGTGGTCAATGGTGCTTATTATCATTTTACCTTTGGATCAAGTAACAAAACTTACTAAATTTTAGTGGATGTCATTTTGTGAGATACTATGGTGTTTTTCAACTCATTTGAAAAAATAAACTATAAAAAAATCTCACATTTCAAAGTACTTCGATTAAGCTAGTATTTGATAAAATTGAAAATTAAAAATTAAAAATTAAAAATCAAGTATTGAAAATTTAATGTTAAATTTTTTTAATTTAAAAAGGAGTAAATTGGTAATAAATCCAAATTAAGAAGGGTATAAAGCATTAGGTTCAGTGAATATTTTTTGTTGGTGAGGAGTCGACCCTTTGTGAAATAGTTTGGTGATAAGTCTTTTTGTTTGTTTTGAAGGATATTTTGTTTTTAATTTTATCTCGTAATTTATCTGTCGACTTTTTTTTAATATGCTGACTTTCTTTTTTTTTTTTTAAATTATTGTTCAAATTATTTTCTATATGTTTAAATTTTTTTTGACTATTTCAAATTTATATCTGTCTGTTGAATTTTTTTCTTGATCTGTTCACTTTTTTTCCCTATCTATTCAAATTCTGTGGGTTTCTCTTTGTTCTTGTCTGTTGAAACAATATCTGTTGAAATGTGTTAATTCTTGTTCTATTTTTTATTTGTACAAATTTCTTTGTTCAATTTTTTTATCTAAGATCGGTTCAAATTCAACATAGATCTATTCAAATTCGCACACAGATTTTATTTGTTTGTTCTATATGTTCAACAACAATTATCAGCAACAACAAAAAACAAATAAGAAAATAAATAAAGAAAAAAAAAAACCAAAAACAAAAACTCTAATGTGTTGTTTGGTAACACTTACGTTTTCAGTTTTCTGTTTATATTTACAAAAATTTTAAAAACTCAAATAAAAACTTGTTTGGTAAAATTTAGTATTTGATAAAATTGAAAATTAAAAATTAAAAATTAAAAATCAAGTATTGAAAATTTAATGTTAAATTTTTTTAATTTAAAAAGGAGTAAATTGGTAATAAATCCAAATTAAGAAGGGTATAAAGCATTAGGTTCAGTGAATATTTTTTGTTGGTGAGGAGTCGACCCTTTGTGAAATAGTTTGGTGAGAAGTCTTTTTGTTTGTTTTGAAGGATATTTTGTTTTTAATTTTATCTCGTAATTTATCTGTCGACTTTTTTTTAATATGCTGACTTTCTTCTTCTTTTTTTTTAAATTATTGTTCAAATTATTTTCTATATGTTTAAATTTTT